AGCGCCCAGTGGTAGAGCAGGGCTGCGAGCAGTTGGTCCGTTACCGTTATGTCCGCTCGCCCAAGGTTGGTAAGTTGTATGGAATGCATGTAGTCCCTGATTTCCAAGACGTTTATCACCTGACGTTTCAATTTTTAGGAAGTGAGCAATGGTGCCGAAGTTTGCATAACCTGTTTTTCATTTGACCGCTTAGACGCACCGCAGACTGGCGCGCAATTTAGTCTGGTAGCGCTATTCTTGGCCTTTGAAGCATGTCTGGATGTCTACACTTACAGAAAAGCTGATTGATGCAAAATTTCGCTAGTCACAACGTACGGCGTGTATTCGGAGGGGAAAAGACGCGTTCACTCGCCTACGAGCGTGGGAGACCCACATAAATGTTTGCCCTTCATGAATGCAGACTGAAACGCTCTCAGTGTTCAAACTTCTGTTTAACATATTCTTTCATGAAGTGACCATTGCGATGAAATTGCGCGCATTATAACGCTGAAAGCGGAAATATGTTTCGGTGGCCTAGACGTTTTTCAGCGCCGCCGTGGGGGAAGACAGTTCATGGGCGATTTGTGGCCACACTCCACTGTCTCCCAATTTTCGAATGATCACTTTGGTTTAGATCTCAATGTGCACCTCATCCTTACCGCGCTGCCTCCTCGGCGGGAATAAAATTCAGCGCTCATTGAAGACGAAAAGCCATTAAATGAACCGTATGGGACAATGGGACAAATGGAACAGGTGACTTTTGTTTGAGCAGCAGCTCTGTTTAATGGAGGAGTCAAGAATGTATTCAACATATCTTTATCAAGACACGGCATAGTGAAGTGATGGTGATCCAAACTACAGACGTCATTATTATCTTTGCGCATAACACGGTTCTTGTGCCGTGGAACGCCGTGGTCTGTCTTGAAGTGTGCCATTACGACGTTGAGCATTGTCAATCACCTGGGCTCGTGTCTCGGTGTGTGTTTTGCCAGAGGAATTGTGAGGAGCTGGTAAGTGGAGGTAAATTTCAAGGTAACGTTTGGTGGGTGAGTAGTGCGAGTTGTAAGTAGTAGCTAACTACCTACATACCTTAATTGAAGTAGGCAGCTCAGAGATAGCCAATTTTGCATATATGTCAGTCAAATAATTTGTGTAGTCTGTATGGCTCTGAATAGGACAGGAAACTGGTTACTGATATTCGGAACATGTGTTCTTTTGCTATGTGACGATGTTCAGTTCACTGCAAATGACACCTTATAGTAAGATTTGAGCACCAAGCCTCCGTTTGGGGACAGCATCATTGAATAATTCATTTATTTGCACTGGAATATTTCATATTTGAATATATTGAAGCAAGCATCAAATACGATGAAACAAGCTTACTTAGAAGAATTGACATAATTTTTAGGTGGAAACGGCTGCTCCAGACTGCGCAATTTTCTGGTTAGTAAATATGCTTCTTAATGCGCCATGGTTTGAATATGTCATCACACTCCGTACAAAATTAATTGAGAGCGAATTGGTGGCCCTTATATCTGGAAAGCGTGTTCGCGAACGCCAGCTATGAACGTCTCGGCAATTATATTTTCTTGGCCTGGAACGTCGCATGGTTTAGGGAATGAGAGGACTTGGATGACGTCATTATGACGCCATGAATGCCAATGTGGCTTTAAAATGCTCTCCCCCATACACCTTTCCTCATTTTCGCGGGCGTGTAGCTCAGAAACTAGAGGGGTTAGGTCTTAAGACGAGCAGTATTGTGAACAGCACTGAAAGGCCTTCAAAGTGACTATTTCGGTGCAACGATCCACATAAATGTGAAGCGCTCCGTTTAATGTCTTGAAAAAGTCACTAGAAATTGCCTAGGAATGACGGTATTTTGTTGGCACATCCCCTGAACCAAATTTTATTGTAGGATTGGTCTAGATAACCCTTGGGGATAAGCTCGGTATGTCAATCCAAAATGTTTGAAATCTAGTGAGATTTTCATTGTTAGAGTACACTTATCCGACGGGAGTGCCACAAATGAAGTAAGATAGTATTGCTTTTGGGTCAAGATTCGGGCTGGTTGATACATCCCGCTGACACCTTTGCCATGCTCTGCTGGGATCAGGAATCAGGAAATCAGGAAAAGCTGATACCAGAAATCCAGAGCTGTTTCAAATCACAATACATTCCATCCCCATGGTAGGAAGGGGTAAACCAGCGCCCCTGAGGTTTTTGTGGATATCTGTCCGGTATGTTTTGCCATCGCGCTCAAATTTTTAGTAGCCTATAGGGCATCCACTGCACGTGTTCTGACAAGAGACATGTACATGTTCCTATGTTTTCTAGCTTCGGAGCTGGAACAGTAACGGCGAGCGACTGTTCATTGTTCTTCAGGAACACTGCACGGCGATCTATCGAAGGCTTTCCCGTTCGAGCACGTCTGCAGTGGGTATCATGTACTACTTGCTCCGTCGTGCACTAAAACAGTGCACATCATGTGGTTAGCTCTGTTTGCTTTGTGAGGCCTTGTCGCTTTACCCACTGATGTTTGGGTCCCTTGATGTTTTTGTGAAATGGTACCGAAATAAGAAAAAAGTCAAATCCTACCCCAATCCTATATTCCTGGGGTTTCTTGTCCTGGCTATGTTTAATTTGTGGGTTTCAATAGAGGACAGAAATACAAAATGAAAAACAACTTGCCGTTCGCCAAGCTAAAGTGGATAAATCTGATAAATAACATACGTATGGGAGAAGCTAGGAGTCGGGACCTCGGCTCGCCCCTCCCCCAATAATGCACACATACCGACGCTCCTGAAACACAATCAGTCGTCCGCTCTATGGCCGAGGGGGGTTCTTATTATGAAAAACAATAGGGAATCTTATTTTCAGGGGCAATGCACACTTTTGAAGTTCTGCCTATCGTGGAGCAACGCAACGTGTTTGCATACTGAGCTCGATAAGATCTGCGCGGACCTTACGACATAGGCAGGTCCGTCGACGTTAAGTAGCAATGCATCCAAACGTGCGAGGCAATGCCCCGAGAAGTACTCTTGATTATTGAATGTCATTTTGGTCTTCCTGCCATTCATTATCTGCGAATATGCACAGACGTACAGTGGGCCATATTGGCAGCCTGTGTAACAAAATAGCGATCTCCTTCGCCGTCTTCCGTTGGAGGGAACGCGAATCGTGGCTGGCAACATGGACCGGAACACATGCTCATGCCGATCGAAAGCGGCTGACGGTGGCGGGATGTGGGCCGCCTTTCCCAGCGTATCACGTGCTCTCTGCAGGCATGGCACCTCCGTCGCGACTTCCTTAGCATTCAGCAGCACGTCGCTCATGCATAACGGACGGACGTGCGAGCGACTGATGGCGCACTCCGGGCGTCCCATCTAGCCGACTGTTGCGCTCTCCACGAAACTAACTGTCTGGCGGCCATGCACGGCAACAGCCGGAGACACAGCATAAATCAGCGGCGACCGAGCGGCGGCCCGGCCGGTCGTCCTTCGACCGCGGCGACAGGCTCTGGTCGTCGGCGGCTGCTGTACGCGTGCGCCTTCTCCGAAGACCGCCTTGCAAAACTCGCACATCTCGCGGGATCATTCGCAGAAATAACGGGCCCCGGGCTGGCGTGCAATGTCACGTGCTGACCTCAAGGATCTTTTTCGCAATCGAAGCTTTTTTGGTGGGTGTCATATCTAACAACGGGCCCGGGTAGTTTTAGCAGCCTACACTTTGAATTGTCAAGGCTGATTCTTCCAGGCGACGTCGTGACAGTCAAGAGCATTTTTCGAAAGCGCGCGGCTACAAAGAGGCCGGTTCGTGAAATCGACCATGAACTTTATATGACGCATTCCAGTGACCAGTTCGAGAATAAAGTTTGGAAACGAGTTGATAAATTCTATAAAAAGTTCAAAATCCCACGGTTCTTTCGGATTACAGATTAGCGCGCACATCCTGCACAGCCGAAGGTTGTGCAAGAGGTAGTTGATAGGAGCATGTGGGCCCTATTGGACTATTGCGCCACGATCTTACCGCTGTGCAGTGGTGACAGTTCTGACCATACCAGCAGGCGACAGCTCTGACCCCTAAATGTCGCTAGCAAGCTAGACACGGTCCCTGTGTACCTTTCTCCAGCCTCACACACATACGGTGCCTTTCACACTGAAAGCATAAACCCAAGGTTGATAAACATAAATAAGAGAAAAAAGAGAAAATCATAGAAATCACAAATCGGAGGAAGCACAAATCCGGTGTTGATAGCCTCTTTTGTGCACACACCCTGTCTCGATGCATTACACTTTTAACTCATTTGCTATCTATCATTTTGCATTCAAGTATCAGACGCGGTCGTCATAGATGTATTACATAACAGGTCTTCGGCTTAAGCATATCCTAACATCGAATATTCATTTTTCGTATTTATAGACAGCAGCCAGTGCTTAACAGGGCCAATGACCCTCAGTTACGTCTAGGAAGCATTGCTGCAACGCGGTGGTCCTCAAGGACGCGCGGCGGGTCGTGGCCCGCGGCTCAGTAACTCGCATAAATGTAATTTTGTGTGACTGATGATGATAACGACGCGGTGCCGGTTTAACGTTTGCGAACTGGCTGTGCATGTAAGACAGCCCACCTCTGCTATAGCTGTTGTCATCCAGACGGTGCTCGGTGACCACAACTCTACATCCGGCGACTGGCACGGGGGGCCGGGCCGGGACGCTGGAGCGTGCGGCCGCCGGCGGGGCGCGCGACCCTCCCCTAGGCGCGGCTGCACCCAGACAGCAGCTGTCCGCCCTGCCATCTGGGCTCCGTGTGGTGGGGGTCGCTGTCACGTCACTGGGTGAACGAAGTGATGTGTTACTTTTGGACTCATCTGTAAACAACCATCGGATTGTCCCAATCCAACAACGTTGGCATCGGTTGACGGTTTGGTGTCTTCGCATCATTGGGTGCTCAAACATCATTGGGTGCTCAAAGAAATCATTGCTGAATGAGAAGAACCAGCCTCGTAAATTCCGCATGACGACGATTCAAAGTGTATTCGTTACATCAGCGGGTGACAATGCGACGCAACACAGTGCAGTGCGAAATTAGATTTGTACGTACTTCAGTGAAATCATGTTTCTGGAGGAAGGAACGCAGCAGGTGTGAGATGAGTGCAGACAAACATGGAGGAAAAGTCACAGGGGCTATGATCTACGCGAGTTTTTATAACCGTAAACCTACTGAAGTGAATTGTGGCAAAACTAATGCGGTTTTGCTCGTGTTTTCTTTTTTTGGTAAAGAGTAATTGCCTTTTAGCTTTGTATCCAGTGATACGCAATCTGGCAGACATTGTTGCAACGCTAAACGGACACTAGTGCAATATAGTAGCCACTTTCAGTACAAATAAAAGAATGCAAAGCTACGCACACTGAATGCGTCAGCTTTGATACACAAGTGCAGGAAATTCCATGATAAAAGAGTGCATGTGTAGTGTTGGTACTTTGATCACAATGGTGAAAAGAACAATGCGCTATGGTACATACGGAGCTTCTGTTTAGCAGGGATTTCCGCTTATTGCTGACAAAGTAACGCATGAACAAAACAGACCTGACAACAATACAATAAAATGCTGTCATTAATGCTGGCAGAAGAAAAGCTGAGAAGTGCCCTTCTGTCACCAGTGGCATGGCCCAATACGCAGACACTGAGTACGGTCATGCATCATCAGCAGTGGATTTTAGGAAATCGATAATGGCTTCAGAGTAGCGCGACTCAAATTACAAAACTGCACAGCAGCATGCAGTGAATACAGCATACGGCATGCAATGTTTGTTTACCGAAAATACCTCACGCAACGAGCCGCTGACAGCGTCTGCTCGCAACAAGCCGCTGACAGCGTCTGCACGCAACGAGCCGCTGACAGCGTTTGCTCGCAACAAGCCGCTGACAGCGTCCGCTCGCAACGAGCCGCTGACAGCGTCTGCTCGCAACAAGCCGCTAACAGCGTCTGCTCGCAACGAGCCGCTGACAGCGTCTGCTCGCAACAAGCCACTGACAGCGTCTGCTCGCAACGAGCCGCTGACTGCGTCTGCTCGCAACAAGCCGCTGACTGCGTCTGCTCGCACATGGCGCGCCGGTGCCACGGGCTTGTTGAACGAAAACACGTAACAGGTCAACTACACGCTACGCCATGGAAAAACATTCGTACCGGCAAATATCACCGGCCAACATTGTCCTAGCATCACTCTCCGACGAGATCCGCACCGTGCGCCCATTCGAAGGCCTGCTCGACCTCTATCTGCCTACGCGGGGGGGGGGGGGGCTTTACGCTGGGAGCCTGGCCAGTGCGCAGCCGACCAGCAGGAGCACGGAGCCCAGGTGGGCGCCGAGCGAGGATGCACCGCCGGTCTGCCGCGAGTGCCCCAGGGCGTAGTCCAGCTCGTCCTCGTCCTCGGGCCGCCGCAGGTACACCTGACGGCCGTACCGGCGCTGCGTGTTCCGGTAGTTGTGGCCGATGACCGTGGTATTGGTCCGCTTCAGGGACCGGAACAGCCGCAGCTGTGGACGGCAGACCGGCGGTCAAGCGCGGTCCAAGGTCGTCACCGGTCGGCCGTCAGCGTTACTGGAGATTGTCACCAGTCTATTATCAAGAGAAGCAAAATCAGTCGGTATCGCGTATTCATCGAGACGAATGGCAACAAGGAGTTCTTGCATGCCGGCAGAAGCCTGCCGGCAGACCGCGTCTCCCGAAGTCTCCCGAAGCAGACCTGCCGGCAGACCGTGTCTCCCGAAGTACACCAGGCACGTACCTCGTCCTCGGTGGCCTTGACCGTGTGCTGGAATATGGTCCAGGTGACGACCTCGTAGCAGCCCGGAGTAGTAAGCGAGCCGTCGTAGCGGTAGAAGTCGTTGGTGTTCCAGGGCATGAGCTCGAGAAGCCGGGGAGGGTCCTCGACCACGGTGGAGTCGCCGCCCTCGGTGATCTCGCTCAGCGCCTTCTCCAGACGGCCGATGGCGCGGTTGTTGACATCGCTGACCTGTCGACCGGTGGAGTTGCCCAGACGAGGCACCGCCAGCTGCTCGCTTGGCACCGGGGACCGGCCATCGCCGCCTCGATACGGGGAGTGGTAAATGTGTTTTTGGTGCATATTTGTAATACGCGTTGTTAGTTGCACTGCATCCTGGCGCTGGTGACAATCAACGAGTCAGGCAGGCGCTTTTATCCCCGTGACAAAAAATACGTGCTAGAGAAGAGCATTCTGTGCTATCACCTCTAACTTGTCACCAGCCACACAACAGCCACCTTTAAGCGAATGCACCCAACTAGCCAGTGGTATATCCATCGTTAAAAAACGATATGGCACGCAGTATCTGTCAGAAACCTCGAAACATGACACATATCTGTGGTCTGACACAAGAAAGGAATTACGTAACAAACCTCAAACAAGACCGCGAGCACGGCGAGACCGTCCGGATGGTCCAGCGCCCTCTGCAGCTTTGTGTACTTGGTGTTCCTGCACACGACATGCATCTCCAGTGGGTAGCTGCAACAGTGACCGTTGTGTGCCAGTCACTGCGAGTTGATGCCCAAACGCATCACAGGCATGCTACGTACGGCACGGTTATTTGTGGACTGAGTGCTGCGCTGATCCTCCGGGTGGCACACCGGAAGACCAATACCAAATAAGGAATCGAATATATCTTGTTGAACAGAATGAGGAATGTGTGAGTGTGCTGTTTTGGAATGCGCACAACGAGCGCTCGTCGGACTTCGCCCACGTGCAACCCATTTGTGTCCCCGTTTTAGTTGTTTTGTTGTTGTTTGACGTGTGTTTTTAGACTGTGCTCTAATCAGTGCAATGACCTCCTGCATGTGACAGTGCTCTCGTGGTTGGGATATATTCAAATAGACATTATTTCTCAAGAGCAGCACTGTGTATGCATAAATACAGACAAGGAGGACGAGGAGTGTTGTAACTATGTAGACAGACGGTCGGCTGTGAAAACGTTCATGCCCCTTCACGGTAGTCCCTCACAAATTCGATTGTGTGAACACATCCAGTTTGCAACGCATTCGATTGGGTGAATGCGTCCAGTTTGCGACGCATTCACCCAATATGTATTGGACGATGCAGAGGAGGGGAGCAGGAGCGAGACCCACCTTTTGCCGTTAATGATGTGTTCGGAGCCCTTGGTGCTGTCCTGGCCCCAGTGGAAGTGAAAGCCGACCACCTCGAACTCGCCGGGCAGTCCGCCGCTCCGGATGAACGGCACTTTCTTGGTGGTCATGACGGCCCCGGCTGCGAGTGCCAGCGGCGGACCAAAGTCAGGGGGATCCCCGAGCGAGTGCCAGCGGCGGACCAAAGTCAGGGGGATCCCCGAGCGAGTGCCAGCGGCGGACCAAAGTCAGGGGGATCCCCGAGCGAGTGCCAGCGGCGGACCAAAGTCAGAGGGATCCCCGAGCGAGTGCCAGCGGTGGACCAAAGTCAGAGGGATCCCCGAGCGAGTGCCAGCGGCGGACCAAAGTCAGAGGGATCCCCGAGCGAGTGCCAGCGGTGGACCAAAGTCAGAGGGATCCCCGAGCGAGTGCCAGCGGCGGACCAAAGTCAGAGGGATCCCCGAGCGAGTGCCAGCGGCGGACCAAAGTCAGAGGGATCCCCGAGCGAGTGCCAGCGGCGGACCAAAGTCAGAGGGATCCCAAGCGAGGAGCATCGGGGCGGCGACGGCAGTGCTGCATGAGATACTACAACGGAGAAACGTGTCGGCACTGACACCGTAGCTGTTGGGGAAGAGCGGCCCAGCCCTACAACTTGGTCGAGTCATGTACTAGACGAACCACAAACGTGATGCGGCGCCCGTCGACTGAAAACTGTGCGGTAAAAACATATTTATCACTAACTTAAAGATAAATCGGCAAGGTGAACCACTCACCACTGTGGCGGTTGTTCGTGAGGCTCATGTTGAGTGGAATCTCGTCGAAGTGATAGAACTCCATGGGCTTGAAGCGTTTGCGGATGGTGCTGCTGGTTTCAATGGCGATTGGCGACTGACGGTGCTTTTCGCAGTTCTTGAAGCCCATCTTGCTCCAGTGGTCCGGCCCTGCCAGGTGTCATTGTGCGCAGGTGGTACTCATTCGGGTGCATATCGCGGAGACATTTCGATGGGGGAGCACATGACAGATTACCGCTCCAAGCGATGGGGAGCACAAGCCAGATTACCGCTCCAAACGATGGAGAGCACATGACAGATTACCGCTCCAAACGTTTGAGGCTTTGGCTCTCGTGATCTATATGTGGTGCTCGACGCACGCCAGCTTTATCTGGAGTAACCTAGAGGCCATTTTGTCCTGACGCTGGGAAAGTAGACTTTACGTAACCTTGGTAGCACGTAGTAAGTGGTGTGTTTCATACACATATTTGTTAACACTTTACCAAGTTTATGCATGCTTTCTGTTAATAGTTTCATTATATTAAGGAAGGTAAACACATGATCGTGCCCCAGACGGAGTGTGTTTTAGATATAAAAGCGGAAACCGCACTCGCAGCATTGTTTTTTTTCAAGATCTAAGGGATTTTATTTTTGTCGTTATACAGATAAGGCATTGCTGGCGTAACCAATAACACTGTGGCATTGGCGATTAAGGAATGCGATCATTGCACCAACAACACTGTTGTTGAAATAAGCCAAGTTAAAATATGGCGGTCATTGCGTTTGTTGCGTGTCTTGTATGATTGTTTGTGAATAAGTGCTGGTAAATTACCTTGGATTCTGTAAGGAATCAGTGTTCTGACGTGGCCTAAATTTATCATGCTTAGGAACCGCACATTGTTCTCAAGCAACGCTCGGTCGATGGATGGCGGATTATCTTACCGCTTTCGCCTTCATATGTCCATTCATGGCCCGGATCTGGAACGTGCAAAGTAGCATTAGATCACTGTTATCATTCTCCTCCCACAAACAACTTCACAGAAACCGCGCGATGAGGTAAAAATGATCGTAACATGCAAATGCTCGATGACGAAAGGTGTATCAAAGCTAAAGCAAAGAATATGACAACTGGGAACTTGCCTAGCTTTCAGTCTGTAAGTCCGCAGTGGGTTTGCTGTGTATTCCGTATTTATGCATTTGCCGTATGTTATGTCCATGGAGGTACGTGCTATGTTATGTGGAGTATGCCTTTCCTATATCACGGTAGTATTTTCAGGTGAGGATAAAATTTTATTTCTTTAAGCCACCGCCTTGATTCACCGTTTTCGTAACTTGGGCTGATAGGCGGGGGGGGGGGGGGGGGCGATTCATCCCCGGCCTTTGCAGTTCCAAAACCAAGAAAGACGAGATGGCTGACAAAAACAGTGGGCTGGTCCCAACGAGATCTCACGATCAGGAATGCTTTTCATGTCTCTAGGTCAATATTTGACCTCCGTAAACCAAAAGAAATGACGACTTTTTCTTCAATCGATTTTTTAACTTTATGTACATGCCCCTATTTAAAGCACCATGTCTCGTAGTGGCAAAAATTGAACAGGAGTGCTCCTTTTTAATACTGAGTACACTGGCATGTATTTTGTGTATTTTGAGCGCACACTTATGCTAAAGAGTCCGTTAAGGTGTGACAATATCGGCCCCCCATGTGCGTTCCGCGGCATCGTCGGTCGCCGCCTGTCGCCCGCACCGGCCGCGGATCGCCGTGCAGTGTTTGCAAGACAACCGTCCCTACTGAGAAATCCAATACACTAAGGTCACGTTACTGGCGTCAAAAACATGCGCCATGGACACGCCAGAGGATACCAACGAGCTTTCGGCGCGATTACACATCACGCCGGAGAAGCATGCTCAGAAACTCCAGGGAGGCTGCATCGACCCTTAACTATCAGGACGAGGGCTAGCTCTTTGGTCTTGCAACCCGCAAGTAACGAAGGCCTGTATAGTCATATGTATAGTGTAGTGTAGCACATTGGCGTGTAGTATAGCACATCATAGCACATAATCTTCGGTGATCCGGGATTCACCGTAATGCTTTTAGATTTTTTATTGCAATCATGGGTCTTTGCATTTGCATAGAACAGGCAACGAACACTTGTTCAGAAAACAAATTTAGTTCTGGAGTTCGCCCGTCAAAAGTTTCCAGGCAAAATCATGTTTTACAAGGAACTTAGCAGCATACACGTTGACTGGTTCGTGCGAAAATGTGGCGCAGCACGAAATGCAACAGCGGAATTTTTTTTCTTAACTTCTTGTGCATCCAGACCCCAGCCGAACTCAGGTGGTAGTTCCGTGGCTCAACGTTGTAGCTCTACTACCTCGCTTGGTACAGGCGGACAACCATTATTTTTTAAAAGCTGTTCGGCCTGTCCTACTCAGAAGATTGCAATGAACTTAACACCATAAGCTGACTTAATTAGTTGGGCTTCAACGATCATCCTGTCAATTGTTTCCCAAACAAGCAGAAATTTCATCGGACACACGGGCGACGCCGCACGGCATCGGTGGCGCGGTTGGCAGCGGGCCGCGTTTATAATGAAGGGGTCGTGCGTGCAAGTCTGGGGTCGCTTGCACGTAACCCAGTTGTTCCCAGTGGAATAACACGTATTTGGCCGCTAAAGCACTCGCGGTGCCAGCATTATACAGCATTCATCTCCTGAATTGTTAAGTGTAAGAAACTCGGCACATAACGCTCACCTCTGCTCGAAATGCATTCACTGTAGACACATGCGTGCGCCGCTCCCTCCAACCACAGCGTGACAAACAGGGGAGGGGGGGGGGGGCAATGTGTAGTGAATGACTTGGAGGATGTTTTCAATCTCGAGTTACGCATGTCTCTTCGGAGGAGGCAGACAATGCAGTGTGTGAAATGCAACGTATGAAATGCAAGCAAAGCTCGTGGAATCCACCGCTCTCGTTAAGCCGGCGACCAATCGTATGCGTTTTAACTACTCTCTCAATTGTCGTGGACTAGTCATCTAACTGAACCTTAGCTATCCCATATTTATCGCCGTGAAGTTCGGGTTTCTCAGTGCAGTACGTTTCGATGCTTTTCTTTGAAAAGAAGGAGGATGTCCTGCCTGTGAAGGCATTCTAGGGAAGGTCAAAATTGTTATGCCTTTAGGTTACTCCTGGAATTTTTAGGTCGTGCTTTACCGAAAGTTCCTGTCAACCAGCACAAACATCCACGAGGCAAGCGAAGTAATCAGTCTGGTCAACCTAAGCTCTGGGAATGAACATGTGTTTTCTTATATATGTTCATGTGATGAACATATGTAGCCGTTTTACTTTGGAAACGAGGAAAATGTTTTGCCTGCAAAGACATTTAGGGAAGATCGGAATTGTTATACCTTTAGGTAACTACGGGAACTGTCCACGTCGTGTTTTACCGCCAGTTGCTATCAACCCGCACAAACTTCCACGAGGCAGACGAAGCAAGCGATCTGGTCAACCTAAGGTTTGAGCTTCAGCGTAGCTGGCCATCAGACCAAACACTTGGGAGGCGCTGGCGGTATTGGACAAACCTCTAATCAAGCTGACATTGAACCAGCGGATCAAGCTGCTGTATGCAGCTGAGTGTCAAAAGAGAATTTTTTGAAAAGTTGTAACGCTTCTGTCGAACCCGCCGCTAAGATGGTTTAAGCGTACGGCAGTTTTTAACTGGATTGGTTCGTTGTCGAGGGGAAAACTCTACGCACTGTCGACATCGTCAATTCAGAGTGCGTGACCTTATGATTTGGTGCGGCTGGGCCCGCAACTGTTTCCGACCATGCTCTTTTTGGCCTATGATGAGTGAAGAGACGCAGCCTGTAGGACACCCGAGATACGCAGAACCGGCTGAGCGGTGCTTTGCGGCGTTATGAACATATCGACAGTGTACGACACAACCGAGCACAGGTCCGAGCTCTCAACATGTGTCGTAGAAAACCCCCACGTTGTTGACAACATCGCCTTATACATGAACTGATCCACGTCAAACATAAGCACGCTTTTGACTTTGCAAGGCATATGTTGCCTTCCACAGTTCAGCAAGGCTGCTTTGTGACAGCAACCGCGTCGTCCGGCGAGCAGTAACCAACCAGCTCGCTCGAGTGTCGCCCGGTGAACAGTAGCTAAACAGCTCGACCGAGCGCCGCCCGGTGAACAGTAGCTAAACAGCTCGACCAAGCGCCGCCCGGCGAACAGTAGCTAAACAGCTCGACGGAGCGCCGCCCGGTGAACAGTAGCTAAACAGCTCGACCGAGCGCCGCCCGGTGAACAGCAGCTAAACAGCTCGACCCAGCGCCGCCCGGTGAACAGCAGCTAAACAGCTCGACCGAGCGCCGCCTGGTGAACAGCAGCTAAACAGCTCGACCGAGCGCCGCCCGGCGAGCAGCAACTAACCAGCTTGCGCCAGCACCGTGCAGGTCGTCAGCACCAGCGCTTCGATCAGCCGTCTGCTCGCCATCGTCTCGCGTCGGCAGCGCCCGCCAGCAGTCCCCCAGCAACACTGGCGGTCGCGCCGGACCGGCCCGGCGAGCCCGCCTATCGGTCCGCCGTCACGTGGTACCCCCATGTGACGCCACCGGCGGCCGTGTCTCGCGACCTCCCTGAGCGTTTGTGGACAGCACGGTCCGGTCACGAGGTGAACGGCAGAGCGCCAGTCACGAGGTGGCGTGCGGAGAGACGTGCTCGATACACGTGTGACCGACCACACGCTGAGAACGTTAAACTCCCTCCAGATCCCAGCTCAGTCGTAAATCGTGAAGGTCGCTATGCACCGCTTTATTGGCATCGCATCACTGGTGTGTTCATCATATGCATTGCATAACTCGCTTGTACGCGTTTTTTCTTGTACATGCTGCGAAATGCCCATGCACAAAGCAGGGCACCTTGCATCAACCATCAACCTGTGCTAGCTCCCAACACTCGGTTTTATCTTCAGCAAAAGGGCAAAGTTAGATTTCTTCGACAGGCAGCCTTATCAATTCCGTTGTTTGACTGCATTTAGCTGCTATCATTGTTGCGTCATAATCTCTGACGTGAAATACAACAGCGCAAACGAAACAACATCTACAAACACCTAGTATCATTGCTGTCTACGGGGAAAACAGTAAAAGCTTTGGTGGATTCGAAATCTTTGGCCTGGACGCATCTCGACAATACGATTCCAGTACCGAATGAGACAGGTAGGTATCATTAAGCGCTAGCATTCGAGGTGGGGAAAAAGAAAGCTTTACCAGCAGTTCAAACGCATATTGCAAACCTTTGTCGCCAAGCAGGGCAGAAGTGGTAAATTTTCGCAAAGTGAATGCCGTCATATTCAACACATATGACACCATTGAATTATATGCAATCGGATTGGATGCAAGAGTCCGTTCAATTCTTCGTCCAGTCAAGCTACTCATTTTTTATTGACGCATGCTTCTCGTCTCAACATTAGAGGATAGTCCGAGTTGCAATGAACTCGCCCATCCAATCAGATGGGGCACTGAAGGAAGACTGGGTTCAGTGGGGGAAGAAAACAAAATTTGTATCACTTCCCAAAATGCTATCAGATCTTAGGTTGTACACTGAATAGTTATCAGAGACTGAAGTATTAAAACGACCTAGAGACTGTCAAGAGGCTCTCTGATGTCGTTAACACTCCTGAGTAGGTACCGGATCACTGAGTCGACTACAGGGCTTTCACAACAATGACAGTGCGCAATTGCTTTCCAAGCGAGCAAGGCCTAGGCAAGTTGAGACCAGCCTTGGCACGTTCAGGGTGTGCCTCTAAAATATAGCTGTCTTGAATAACAATTTTGCATATTCGCGACCATCGGCTTCACTAGCAATGACCTTACTACAGAGCTTATGTAAATTTAATCACCATGTGTCGTGAATAGAGGGCCGAGATCCTACCCTAACATAAGCCGCTTTGCGATGTTCATAGCATAAGTTCAAGAGGCATTAGGCTTCCCCATTGCTTGTCGATCGTCTGTGGATGGTCTATCAAAGCCTATATTAGCTGCAGTGCTGGAAAAACACGCTCACATTAGAGCTGAGCAAACCCTGCAATCTGTCATTTAAATCCGATCATGGGTGAATTGGCGTTCTGATTCGGATTCGGATAGGTATAGGAAATTCGGAAATTTTTGGAAAGCTTCCAATCTGCAATAAAATTTCGAACCCCAACGTCGTATAGCATTCACTCGAGACTTATGACAACCGATGTCATTACTTACTGGCTAACTGTTCTCAACGTTTCTGCCAGCGGCGCATTTGTAAGTCCAACAAAAATGTAGGGAGGAATGGTGCCACTCTGCGTGGGTGTCCATGCTTTGGTTTTTAACGATGCGCGCAGAAACTGCAGGACGAAGTGGACTGCGCCTATCTACCTTTAACGCAGTAACTACACAGTGTGCCTACTACTATGTTGTGCTACAAATACATCTACATCAAAACTAATTAACTGTTTCAGAAACGGCAAGACCGAACAGTCCCAGGAAGAGCTCAAGGGTTTTTTGGTTTACGTATTTCCAAACACGCACAGACAATGCTTTTATAATAAGATGCTTATTGGGTTCAGAATACCTTATCTGGCTGTAATTCTTAGATAAAGGTGGTGCACATGGGTTTGTCTTGCACTTACGCAGTGATGAGCTACGTCCCGAAAACAAACACGCCGTCAGGTAGGGGCCAATCCGACCGAAGGTTTTCCCAGTGCTTGCGAACCGGTGTTGCGTAGCCACGCCAAAACTGGCATAGCTGTTGGCAGTTGAATGGATAATCTTTTGGAAAAAAACATATATAATAGACTATCTTTTGGCATCTTTCGGCTCCTGGATTCCCGGTGCAATGAATTGAAAGCATTTATGTTGAGTTGACCACCTTGAATATACGGGAAGGTACTGGTAAAGCGAAGTTTTAGCGTCAAATGACGATTACATTGAGTACCGTTATATAACAGTTATTGAGCATTACCACATCATTCAACTGTTACGTTTACGACTCATCACATTGACTTTGGGTTAAGCATGAAAATCATCAACCGAGGTCAAAATCAAACCGCTCTTTTAGCTGAGAACTTGCTTTAAAAGTCAGTGTTTAACCTTATTTCAAATTTCTTGATCACAGAGACGTCGACGGATATTTGTTTAAGCATGCTGAAGGTCAGAGGAGATAATGACCTATAATGATCTCTATCGACATTGTGTTTCGTGGAACATGCAGCGTAAGGTAACCCTTCATGCATATCTCAATGAATAAAATGAAAAAGTATGGTAGGTTTCTGGTCATTATGACCTAAATGTCTTTTACAAGTCAGAAAGGCCCATGAATTGAAATTAACGCCAGTGACCTTTCGTTTAGAATATGCATCAATGGCAAAGGCAGGCGCATGACGTGGTCTGCAGGCACTTTGGACGTCGATCTGCAGGCACTTTGAACGACGATCTGCAGGCACTTTGGACGACGACCTTGAGTTTAATATTTTTTGCATTATTTAGCCCGAGGGTCATAACGTGATGATCTGAAAACTTGACACAAAATAGTTAGCATACAGGCTTAGCTAGCCAAACTTGGTGCTTTCAATTTCTCTTAGCCTTTTTTAGTCTCGGGAGGTCAAATTTCCCCCAAGTGCCTCGCATTCAACTTGCCAACCGCGCGCGTATTAAGAATTGGGCTGAATAATTGAGGTTATGTGCACATCGAGCGTGGCGGTCCGCTCTGCTCGAGAAGCTCCGCCTTGAGATTGAGGAGGTCTCTTATATGATGGAAGCTTTCTGGATAACTGCATATTCTCTCCCTGCTGATGATACGCGGCGCCACCTTTAACTGTCAAAGTTGCTGAAAGGTCCGTTTTGCTATTGTTTCCAAAGCAAACAAGAGCGACGCGGTGACTTCGCGGGAAGCACAGAAACCACAGGAGTTAGATCCGGCGGTAATGAATGCATGGTAATAAGACGCAGGCCGTGTGACTCAGTCCGATGCACCCCAAACATTGTCAAGGGATGACTAGTTTTTTGGACGGCTTGAGCCTAGAGCTATTCCAATGCATTCAGTAGCATTTTTAGATGATGGCTTGCTAGACACGACAGCGTTTTCAGAATTGGATTTCCGATTTCCGGTTTTGGACCGTTGTTTCTATAACTGAAGATTTTGCAACTCCCAAGTATTCGCCTCCCGTGTATCTACATCCTCAGGTCCAATCCGTTATCGTGCCAACTTGTATGTAAAGGTTGACATAACCTATAGCTTGTAATCGTCCTTGGAACGAGCCAAGATCGCCAAGCCCGAGCTGGAAATGCTTAACACACATCACACAGCGCTCTATACTTGTTCCGGCGCACTATACCTGCACGGTGCAAAGCGAAAGACTGCTACTCACCATGATCATGAAGGGAAGATCATGTATGATCATGACTGCGATCAGCACTTCATGTATGAAATAACATCCGTGCACGAGACAAAGCAAGGGACTATTCAAGGTGAAGGATCCATCCGGAACCTGATTGCTGTGCTCACTGCGAGTGACATGGCTCACCCAGTGTATGATGATTAGCTTTAGTTCCTTTCAGATTGGTTATTGCATCAGGGAAGTTAGACGTTTAGGAAGAAGGAAGACAGATATCAAAGAGAAATATTCTTTCTTCGCTTGTGAGTGCAGGTCATTGGCCGCATCGGTGAATTTTAAGCGTTGAGGATAAACATACGCGGAGAAGGGCAGACATGTCAGTTGGTCGTAAGGTAAATTTTGTGTGCGTGACGTTCGTCAGCATTAGGTACGTAGGGCCGTTTGTTTGCCACGGCAGAAGTTCGTAATGGAAAAAGTACGAACCAGTGGCTTAAGATCGGAGCATTAAGTTTTCGTTGTAAACTAGTTTGTAACGACAATGTCCACACGAGTAAAAGTTGGTACAGAGGCCGAAGAGGTCGTAAGCAAACGGCTATATCCAAGTGTTCGGGCGCAAATCCTAGTCAGCAATAACGTTCGTTTGGCAAAAGAGCTCAGGCGAAGGTTTATATTTCGATATCTGATGGAAGTACACACAGTTTTTCGTAAATGTCCGTCAGAGAGAAAGCTCGTTTCATGAAGTATTCACGCAAAACTTTGCATGCAGCTGTGTGCTGTACGCTGGAATGCAAATCTTGATCCTTCGTGCCGGGCCTTGGATTGAGTATCACTTTGGGAGCTACCACATCCAGTGAAGGGAATGGTTATGGACAGCGACAGCTGCGTTTGTCGGATTAAGTATCATGACTAACCATACTATTCATTATATGAAATTAAACGTCCCTCGCGTCCTACGGGGTAACCAGATCCGCTGCAGAGTATAGCGAAACCACTGAGTTTGCTGTACTCTTCTTTTCTCCCTCACCCTGACAGCGAATCTGTCGACGACTTCGCCGGACGTCCCCTGAGAGCGCCACTGACGCCAGCTGACGGACGCGGCGAGGGCCAGTTCGCTTGTGGAATACGGCACGCAGACCCGCCAGTGGAATAC